TTCCTAGGTTCAGAGAATAAATTCAGTTGCAAAGAAAGGTGTGTGTGGAGGCCCAAAGAGCTGTCCTGGGGAGCCTTGGCCACAAAGAAACATGAAGCCAGAGACGAGTGGGAGAGTTTTACCTTCCTTGATGTAGGATCTGTTATGTCAGGATCCAAAATTTGCTCAGGGGGGAACCTCCGTTTTCACACCAGAACACCCAAGGGGAACACCAGGTGGAAACCTGATCATGGATGGGAGAAGGCTCTGGACTGAAGACAGGTGACTTCCTGAGCAGAGGATGTCTCTGAATGCTGTTACTGAGTGATCCTGTCAGGGGGTGCTGGGGAGCAGACCACAGGAGAGTGACACCGACTCGGGAGATGTGGGGGCTGCCGCATCAGTGGAGGCTAATGAAGCTGACTTCCTGAAACTGACAGGAAGTTCACACACCAAAGGGCGACCTCTGGGCCAAAGCACCCTTTCCAAACCCATGTCACTGAAATTGGGAAATCAACTCCCATTCCAGATCACCAGGTCCTTGGACTACTGGGGTTTGTCCATTGCTTTGTGGTGATGGCTTTGCTTTTCTTTTAATCAAACCTGTGTTTGCAAAGTTAGAATCCATTTATAGGACTGTCTAGTGAGGAAACTTTCCCACATCTCTGCCCATAATTTTGACTGAAGTGAACTGCCCAGGTGCACAATCTATTGGCTCCAGGGTTGTGCTATGATACATTTAACCCTCCCTGATAGATCCATGAACAGGCAGGATTAGTGTATGGGTCACCTGATAGATGGTGCAAACACCTTATATTCCCCAAGTCTCTGTGTTTGAGGCATCTTAGTAAAAGGAGAAGCATCCTGAGAACTTCTTGTGTTTGGTGTTGAGCTTCTGCCAATGATTTAATTCCCCCAGTTTTTGAATTGGATGATTAAGCGGTGATTTATTGGAAAGTATAGTAGGATAGTAGGAAAAAACTTGTCGGCATTGCTAAGACCTCAGATATTGGTTAACTGCAAGTTCCTGGCTGGAAGGTGATAAAATAAAGGAATCTTTCAACTTCTAATGTTTGTGGATCCTGCCCCTGGGCTTCCAGGGAAGCTATACTTAAACACTTACCAAGGTCAAAATGACTTTGCAAAACCTCGGAGTATGGGCTTTAATTCTGCCGTGAGCATACACTGTACATCTGATTTGTTTAAAAAATAACAAAAAAGGAGCATTCCAAACACAAAGATTAAAAAGGGAAAAACCTCCCTGGTTCCCATGATTTTTAAAGTTATACAGCCTTGCATATGCTAGAAGCTTATGATAAGGTCTGCATCTTTCTGAAATGTCCTTTGTCTAATTATTTGTAACTTTTTAAAAGTGCACCAAATGTTCCTTCAGCAGATCACCCTCTTCTTTGTGAAGATTGTGTATCCTGGCCAACTGCCCTAGCTTGAGTTCCAATAAAACCCTTTCTTTTAAATATTCTAGAAGGTTTATTCAATTTGCATCAACTTTTCTTGGATATAGCCAGCAGGATAGCAGAGCAACTCTTGTGAGATCACCTGGGGGTCCCCTGGAACACAGGTTCGGCACCAGCAGGGCTCTTTGTGCCCCTTCAACTTCTTAGCACCTCGAAGGTGTATTGGGTGAGTTCTTCCCATATCTGAACCTCTTCAACTGGAGTTGATGGTCCTGACTTTTACTGGAGCTGTTGAGGGTTACCAGTAATATTCTCTAGGTGGAGATAACCTAGAGGGGTTGGGGTGGATGGGCTGGTCATTTTGATTTGGCATTATGCTAATTGATGTTATTAATATAAAGCTTGATTGAATTTTCCGGCTAGAAACACGACAGACTGAATCACTCCCCTTCAGGGAGAAGGGACACTTGCTCCTTCAGGCCAAACAGTGCTTTCAGGTGACTGAGAGCCTAAAGGAGCTGTCTCGGGAAACTCCTGCAGGCTCGATGCACAGCATACACTGAGCCTTTACTTGGAAGTGGTTACTCAAATGGGACATTTTCACTAAGAATGACTGGAGTCTCAGATGGCCCAGGTGGGATTCTTTTGACATGTCTGAATTCGTTTTCTTGTGCACACAATTAGAGAAAACCAATCATAAGACTAACCAACCAGAAGCTAGGAAGCCATTTGGTTTGATCAGTAAAACCCCCAACCTTGCGGAGGGACCAATGACCACAGAGGCACTCTGGGTTTCATTTGGCTTGTTGCTGCAGCTTTGGTATCTTTGGGCAAAACTGGCCTTGTTCTAATTGGAAAATGGAAAATGACTCATTAATGGATCCATAGATTATATGCTACCTTATGATTAATCAGATTTGTTTTATAAAAGAGAGATATTTGGAAATTGGATCTGTAATGTCCTCTCCACAAATGTTAGTGAAACAAAGGCTAGATTTTGGTAGCCTCTTGTTTGTGTGTATGTGTCCATATGTGTTATAAATGTGACATATTCTCTCTACCTCTGAATGGTATTGCTAAAAATTAATTTGTAAAAGAGCTCTTTTTAATTAGCTTAAAGGCAAACACTTGTAAAAACCTGCCATTCTAAAACTCAGAAAGATAAGAACTAATCCAAATGTTTTTCAAGTTCATGTGATCTGGGATAATCTTTAATAAGTTAAAATTCAAGTTTTTTGGTTTAATTAAAATAGGGCAGCTGGAGGGGGCATGGGGGGATGGGGCAACTGGGTGATAGACATTAAGGAGGGCATCTGATGTAATGAGTGTTATATAACACTGGGTGTTATGTAAGACTGATGAAACGCTGACTTCTACCTCTGAAACCAATAATAAATACATTATAAGTCAATTTAATTAATTAATTAAAATAAGTCTCCTATCCTTCCAAAAAAATTAAAAATAAAGTTAAAAAATAGACATGTCTTTAGAGTTGTCAACATTAAAAATAATGGTTGATTTTGTCAGCCTCATGAAGTATTCATGGGTTATTGTTAAAAACAAATAAGTTGAATGGATAAAAAGTTTTTTAATAAGGTAGAATACTGAAATATTAATTACTAAACATAGGTTTATTTGCTTTTGGTTCTTATTACAAAGAAACTAAAGATAAATTTGGGTCTGCTTATAAACATGCATTATGCTTTATTGAAAGTTGTACTATGAAAAAACACATTTTTAGAAATTATGAAATATATCTATAAACTGGCCAATTTAAAGAATTCTGATATAACAGACAGCTCATAGTTGCTTCCTACTTAGTTTTCACCTAGAGACTGAGGTTTTTAAGAATTAAAATTCTGATAAATGTGATTGAGACTGTTGGAAGTAATATGGAAAGCAACTCTGTACATAGGAAAGTGAGATATGTATCTTGTATAAAGAATGAGGATACATTTTTGTTGAGGAATAAAAATGATTTTGTCCTGAAATGAGATTGATTGTTTAGAGAGGAAAGAGGACAAAGTCTTAATGGAAAAAGAAAGTCATAAAATGTTAGTGAAGGAGAATCTTTAGAAAATTTTATATATGGTCAAGACTAAGATAGGAATGAATGAATTTTGAAAGTGCACTAATATAAGATTGGAATTTGGTTTTCCTCCCTGTTAAAAAGACAGGGATTGGATTGTTTGTCTGCTCTTGATAAGAAATTATGAAAAAAAATTTTTTTCTTTTTCTGCACAGAAAAAACAAAGATCTATAGATCTATGTTTTGTCTTCACCAGTTTTTTTGATTATGTAAGAAAATTAAAACTTCTCAATATTAAAAAAGCTAAATTTTGTTAACAAATATGTATGCTATGTTTGCTTTTGGTATCTCTTAAGGCCACCTTTGTTAAACAGATTAAGGTTTCCTTTTTTCAGATTAATTAAGTTTTAAGTTTTGTGATGATCTGTAATCCTATTTAGGCATTTGCTTTTGAAACTGCTCAGCTTTTTTTTTTTTAAAGATTTTATTTATTTATTTGATAGACAGAGATCACAAGCAGGTAGAGAGGGAGGAGGAAGCAGGCTTCCCGCTAAGCAGAGAGCCCGATGCGGGGCTCGGTCCCAGGACTCTGGGATCATGACCCAAGCTGAAGGAAGAGGCTTTAACCCACCGAGCCACCCAGGCGCCCCAAAACTGCTCAGCTTTTTAACAAACTTCTCCCAAACTCAAATTCTAAATGAAGTCTTTTTGACTAATTAGAGTTGTTTATTTGGTATGTTAATTGGTACTAACCAATTAACCAATTGGTTAGTACGAATTAACATAATTTTGGTATGTTTATTTGGTATGGTACATGCGAAGCATTGTCAAACAAATGATGGTAAACTTTTTTAAGTTATGTTGTGTGGGCAAATGCTATAACCATTGCAGAAATTACATAAAATTCCTAGTTTTAATATGTCCTGTAATAATGTCATCACTTGAAATTCTAGTTATTGAAATGTTGTGTGTCACAAAAATAATCAAATTTCCTTGTCAACTGCATTATAACAATCAGACTTTTAACCATGGCTATTTTTGAGTCGTTTGTCACTTACAGTTATTGTCCTAATGCTCTTGCAAATGTCTTTCAGCTTCAAGGAGATTCATGAAAAGGGCTTTTGATGAACACAGGTTTCTGATATCTTTAAGATCATAAAATAAAACTGGGTAAGAATCTCTAGAACTAATGGAAAAAATGCATTCAAACAGAACAAGAATGAATTACATGAGACGAACTGAATTGAAAAAGATGATTATAATTTTTATGATTCTTGTTTAAAACATTGCTCTTTCTCTAATGTTTGCCCTTCCAGATTCAAGGAAACCTTTTCTCTTAAGGTATCTGTGAGTTAATAGAAATTTGATAAAATATTCCATTGTAAGCAAATAAAGATAATTATCTTTTCTCCCTATCCAAACCCTCCAGAATTCAGAACTCAGTATTCTTTCTCTCAAGGCAATTATAGTCATTTGCATAAATCCAATGAGAATCTGTTCTCCTTGTAACAGGACACCCTTAAGAACATTGGCTGTATTACCAAAGCTTTAACTGGAATGTCATATTTGAGAGACACATGCATAGACTCAGATATGACTGGAGAACTTTAAGGAATGAAGGTTGGCTTTATGGAGTCAATAAAGCCCCTTGGAAATATTGGCTTGATACCTTGCTTATAGAGTTCCCAGAGCCTTACCAGGTAAGTAAAGAATGTCACTTCCTGACAGGTACAGGAACCTCAGGATATTTTGGGGACTTCAGGAAGAGAGGAATTCCCCCAAATCTATAGGTATTGTAGGTGAGTCTGATGGCAAGTATTTGGCTTGGCTTCTGGCCTTGAGAGGCTATTAAAAGTTCAGTGTGAAATTCCTTATAAAAAGTTCCAGCAGAGCAGATTTTCTGAAACCCATATGATCGATCACAATTCTTGCTATAAATAATTAGGCCAGGGGCGCCTGGGTGGCTCAGTGGGTTAAAGCCTCTGCTTTCGGCTCAGGTCATGATCCCAGGGTCCTGGGATCCAGCCCCCCATCTGGCTTTCTGCTCAGCGGGGAGCCTGCTTCCTCCTCTCTCTGCCTTCCTCTCTGCCTGCTTGTGATCTCTGTCAAATGAATAAAATATTTTTAAAAAATAAATATGTCATATTTGTTAAAATGGACTTTTTATTCCCAAATGAATTAGTTTTAATTTGGCTATCTTCAACAGAAATGAGGATAATTTTAGGGAGAAAAATTAAGTTGCAACAACACATCCTTATAGGTGTTAGATTCTAGTTCTAATTAATTGTCTTTGAATGTTTGTTGTGTGCCTATAAAACTGGGCTGGATCCTGAATTCTTCTGATTTCCTCAAATACCTGGCTATGACTCTCCAAATGAAGGTTTCCAATTTTCTCCCATTCTCTTGACTTGGAAACCCTGAGAACCAAAGATGCCCCTTTCCCTGAAGCCCTGGAAACTGAAGTTAGACAACCTGGGGCAAACTTCAGAAAAATTTCTACCATAGCTCATGTCTTGATGCTCTTCATGCCTGGTGCTCTATGGGCCCCTCAAAAGGGTGAATGATTATTTTCCTCAAATCCTTCAGATAAACCCTAGTGAATGCATTTTTCTTTTACTATTATTGTACTTGATTTGACCCTATTTTTTTAGGATTTAAAAATCTAATCTTAGAAGTGATATTCATGTCCCATTTTCTTGCATGCTGTCTTCATCAGGTGTTGTGTGTGTATTTTTGTAATGAATTGTGTTTCTTTCAAGGAGCAGGCCAGGAGAGAGACGTAGACATGCTGAAGGAGCTCCAGCTCTTCCTGTTGGGCATCCTGCTGCTTGTCTGTGTCTTCTTCTACCAGCTCGACGTCAAGTCCAGCTGCCTCTTCTCCTGCCTTCCTCCCCAGAAGTCCCAGCAGGACCTGGGAGCCCTCCTGGGCCATGGGCGTGGCATTGTGTTCATAGAGACCTCGGAGAGAATGGAGCCAACTCCACTGGTCTCTTGTGCTGTGGAGTCTGCTGCCAAGATTTACCCTGGGCACCCTGTGGTGTTCTTCATGAAGGGTCTCTACGACACCACATGGCTACCCTCAAACTCCACTTACCCAGGCTTTTCCCTCCTCTCAGCAATAGACAATGTTTTCTTCTTCCCTTTGGATATGAAAAGGCTGTTTGAAGACACACCATTGCTTTCATGGTACATTCGCGTAAGTGTTGAGAGGCTCTTAGAAGGTCAGCGTTGGGAGGGACCGCAGAAAAGGGGTCCCATTTGCTCATTTTATGGATAGGTAAACAGAGCACAAGGACTCAGTGTCAGAGATGGGACTAGGACCCAGATCCTGGCCTTTTTTCTACAGCGTTGAATCCTGATTCAAATAAGCAGGAGAGACTTAAGTTAGGTTCATCTTGAGCCTCTTGTCTCATGTCTCCAGCCTTATTTCTTAGGAACAAGTTCTCCTTTGAGACTGTTCTTTTTTTTTTTTTTTTTTAAGATTTCATTTATTTATTATTTGAGAGAAAGAGAATGAGAGAGAGAGAGAGAGAGCATGAGAGGAGAGGTCAGTGGGAGCAGCAGACTCCTCGTCAAGCAGGGATCCCGATGTGGGACTTGATGCCAGGACTCCAGGATCATGACCCGAGCCAAAGGCAGTTGCTTAACCAACTAAGCCACCCAGGCGCCCTCCTTTGTGACTATTCTGAACCAAATGAGTCTCTAGATCTTTTCTGGGGGTTATAACCACTTATTTTTAATTTATTTAAACTTATCTATGTTAAACTTTATTTTTTTTTGCATCTAAGTGGGAAACTAGGCAATATTTAATTTGAAAATGATGTGAACAGAAAATTCGTGAAGGATCAGGCAGAGTGCTGTTGTATGAGATGGGGTTATATTAGGATATGACCCAAGAAATATCTTTTTTCTTGGGTCATATCTTATGACTCAAGAAAACTCCTGGAGCTCTTGAGAATCTTGTAATCTTCATCTTGATAACATAGCATAATAAGGAAATAATATTTCAATTAAACATTTCTCTCACAGAGGACCCATGATTGGATAATGCTTAAGGAAATTACAGTAGAACCACTTAATAACTTCACTATGCAGTTTTTAGCTGTGACATCGTATAAAGACTACAATGCAATATAATAGAAGAATAAATACACTTACGTTATAATGTAATTGTAATTGTTTTAGTTATATACCCCACCCCTCCGATCTATGTGGAAGAAAACAACCTGAAGAAAATAATACAATGCATGGTAATAGTAGGTGTTTTTATGTGATTCGATTAGGAGTGCATTTAGTCATGAAAATATGTTCATTTTAAAAATAAAATTATTCTAAACACTCAAAGGTAATTTAAAAATTGACATCCAAATAACACCATTTTCTTGCCATATAAAATCCTTTCTAAGTTTAAAGCAGAGGCTAGACCAAATGGCAGCAAACATTTTCTCTGTAAAGCGCCAGACTGTAAATCCTTTAGGTTTTGCAGGCCAAGAGGCAATAGTGAAGCCACTGTGCACCTTCTTGTGTTAGTTTCCTATGGCTGCTGCAATAGATGAACATACACTGGGTGGCCTGAAACGGCAGACATTTCTTCTCTTACAGTTATGGAGGCTACAAGTCCCAAATCTGTTTCACTGGGTGGATGTCATGGTGCTGGCAGGGGCCCAGTTCCCAGGGAGGCTCTAGAGAAAAATCCTTCCTGTGGAGATCTGCACGTGTCCTTTTCCTGTGTGTGTGTGTGTGTGTGTGTGTGTGTGTGTGTGTGAGTGAGTGTGAACATTCCCTCTACATCTGTCTTTAAATGATACTTGTGATAGCATTTAGGGCTCATCAGGACAAGCCAGAATAATCTCTCCATCTTAAGATCCTTACTGTAATCCCATCTGCAAAGACCCCTTTTCCGTACACGGTGACGTTTACAGGTTCTAGACTCTAGTGCCTGAGGTCTTTGGGTGGTCATTATTCAGTCTACTGTCCTGGGGAGAGGACACCCCAGCTGCTACATACTGCCATCTGGAGGCATTTTCTGGACTACGGGACAGGCCTGTGGGGGCGGTGCCTAGTTTTACTCTTGGCCCCGTGGGACTTCTAGATCTCAGTGTGCCCATCTCTTCTCCTGAAGAGTCTGGAGCTCTCAAATTGACACCCACCAGGAGGGGATGGAACAGCTCACCACACTAAGATTACACCTGCAGCCACCAGCACACCCCAACAATTAGGCAGCTGCCAGCATGAGCCCCTGGGAGAAAGCAGGGCAGGCCATGGACCAGGGAGACAGCACCTGGCAGTAGAGGGGGCCCCTGGGAGGAACAGGCTGGTGAGGTCCCTGTCGCTTGCAGGGCTAGCCTGCTAGAGGGTGTTCCAGGAGGACTAAACAAGAACAGGCAGTGTGTTGGCCTACTTTCCCCACACCTGGGGTAGGCGAACATTAGCTAAATGGTGCTTTGCTCCTTGGACAAATAAATCTCTGCTCCAATTGTCTTGGACGATGCCACATACCACACCCCCACCCCCTGCTTTTTGCCCCTCACAGACTAATCATGTACATGAGGAGATGAAAGCCTCTGCATTTCTGAACTAAAGAAACGTTAACTTGATTCAACACAGCATTTTCCAAACTGATTTGAGCATGGATGCCTCTTTTGGTAGAACATCAATGTTTTCTTGGGGCTAAAGTTCCATAGGGTGTAGTTTGGGTTCCCCAAGCGGTATGTCAGTTTTACAATGTTAAGTTTTCAGAACAGGGTGGCTCTGGGACACATCTGACCACATCAACAGCCTTCCTAACTTGCCTCTGTGCTTCCGCCCTTGCCACCTCCCAAGCCCCACCCCTGTCTGTTTTCCACATAGTAGTCAGCATGACCCTTTTAAGACTAAGATCACTTGACTCCTTTCTTCCAAACCTTCCAAATAATTTCAGTCTTTACCCCAGCCTATGTGATCTGCTCTCCCTCTCCTCCCATCCCTCTCTGCCCCCACATCCTATCCCTCTCCTCCACTACTCTGCTTTGGCTACTCTACCTCCTTTCTTTTCCTACACATAGCGAGTGAGGTCCTACCTCAGGGCCTTTGCACTTGTTGTACCTCTACCTAGAACCCTCTTCTCTGAGATATCGGCATGCTTCCCTCATCAAATTCATTCAGGTTTCTACTGGGAGCCAAGATAAGATAGGGCTCCATCCTGCTCCCTTCATAGTCCCCTTATCCAGCATTTCTTCCTGCACAGTCCTTATGAACACTCAACGTATCATATATTAATTTGTTTATCATCTATCTTCACCTAGCAGAGATTTTTGTCTGTCTGTTTACTGCTATCTCCTTAGCAACTATAACAAAGCTTGGCACATAGAAAGTAGGCCCTCCATGGATGTTATTCAAGGAATTAACTACTGAAAGAAGACATGCACGCATTTTAAGAGTCTTCTACCAATTTCTCAAAAAACATACATATTGATCTATTTACAGTTTCCTAGTTTATTTTTTTTCTTTATCATTTTTTAGCATTTTTAGGACTCAAGAAATTCTTCCTTCACAGTTTCATATTTGTGGTCAATGTACACCCTGCTGTGGGCGCCTGGGCAGCTCAGTCCTTAAGTGTCTGCTTTCAGCTCAGGTCATGATCCCAGGATCCTAGGAGGGCTCCCTGTTCAGCAGGGAGTCTGCTTCTCCTTCTCCTACCCGCGCCCCCACCCCCCCACCCCCACTTGTGTTTCCTCTCTCACTGTTTCTCTGTCTGTCAAATAAAGAAAATGTTTAAAAAAAAATTACACCCTGCTGAAAATGACTCAATGGGTTTATCGTGAAATCCCTGCTGGGTTTCTTCTTTACCATTCCATTGTTTCATTTTTTTTTTTTAAACAAATTCACGAAATCTTTAAAAGCTGCTAAAATCTTCCCATTGTTACTGACTGCTGCAAACTTGTCACTTGAAGGCAAATTTTTGGGTGGAACTAAGTTTGGTAAATTTGCAAAATTGGGCTTTTGTCCGGTAGATTTTTGAGAAGCTGGCTTGCTTCCTTCTCCACAGCCACCCTGGGCTGGCCTCCCGTTGGGACAGCCTGCCCTGTCCCCCTGCTGCTGGGGCTGATTTGCTCCTGTTCTTGCAGATCAATGCCAGTGTGGAGAGCAACTGGCTCCACGTCAGTTCTGATGCGTCCCGCCTGGCCATCATCTGGAAGTATGGCGGCATCTACATGGACACCGATGTCATCTCCATCAGACCCATCCCCGAGGAGAACTTTCTGGCTGCACAGTCTTCTCGGTACTCTAGTAACGGGGTGTTTGGCTTCCTCCCCCACCACCCCTTCCTGTGGGAGTGCATGGAAAACTTTGTTGAACACTACAATTCAGAAATCTGGGGCAACCAGGGTCCCAGTTTGATGACGAGGATGTTGAGGCTGTGGTGCAGACTTGGAGACTTCCAGGAGGTGAGTGACCTCAGGTGTTTGAACTTGTCCTTTCTACACCCCCAAAGATTTTACCCCATATCCTATCCGGAGTGGAGGCGCTACTATGAAGTCTGGGACAAAGACCTGAGCTTCAATGACTCATACGCCCTGCATCTGTGGAACTACATGAACAAGGAAGGGAGGACTGTGGTCAGAGGAAGCAACACGCTGGTGGAGAACCTCTGCCGTAAGCACTGTCCCAGGACTTACAGGGACCTGATTCAAGGCCCAGAGGGCTCGGGGACTGGGACTCTGAGTGCAGGTAACAAATAGAGGCAGCATTGGGCTGTTGCTGCTGTGTCATAGGACCGAACATTTCCTGGAGTGCAAGTTTTTGGTTCATACCCACGTTCCCCAGGGGGGTGGGGCTGACCCATGTATTAGTTAGGATCATCTCTCTCTGTAATAGAAAATTCCCAAAGACATCAGTGTGTAAAATATAGAAGCTTCTTTCTATCTCATGTAAAAGATGTCTGAAGGCTGGTGATTCGGGGAGTGGGGGTGGGTATGGTCACTACGATCATTGGGGACCTAGGTTTCTTGCATCTTTTTGTTTATCATTTGCTATCCTTAGTGTCCCATAGCCCATGGTCTATATGGTTGCTTGATCTCCAGCCCATTATGTCTGCACTTTGGGCAGTGCGAGGTAGGAGGGAGGGAGGTGCGCTTCCTATATTTTATGAAGACCTCCTACAAGTCCCTTATAACACTTCCCCTTACATCTCACTGGTCAGAGTGTAGCTGCAAGAGAGGCTGAAAAATTTAAGGAGGAAGAGAAAATGGGTGTTAGGAGAGACAGCTAACAGTTTTGTTACATGTTACATTTACATCTGTAAGATTAATTTTAGGACCTGTTAGAGAATTGACTGAGGAAAAAGAGATTTGATCTCTGGTCCTGATTTTGATATTCATTAATGCTTTCAGTCAATGAGCATTAACTGAGTCCCTTCGGTGTGCCAAGCACTGATTGAGTTGTAGAAGATAGAGCTGGATCAAGCAGACAAGGTTCTGTCTCAGTCAGTCTGGGCAGCACTAGCCAAGTGTCACAGCCTGGGTGGCATATAAACAACAGAAATTGAGTTCTCACAGTTCTGGAGGCTGGTAGTCTAAAATTAGGGTGAGGATCCTCTTCTGGTGGCAGAGGGCACTTTTCTTGTTGAATCTTCATATAGTGGAAAAGGTCAAGGGGAATCTCTGGGGTCCCTTTTATAGAGGAACTGATCCCACTCATGAGGGTTTCACCCTCATGACCTAATTTCCTCCCAAAGACCCCACTCCTATCATCATCACATTGAAGGGTAGGATTTCAACATATGCATTTTGGTGGGACAGGAACTTTCAGTCCATTGTAGGTCCCTCATACTTATTCTAATGACTGGCCACATCCCCCCTCTGATACCCTCTTGCTTTTCCCAGGGTGTCTGCTGTTCCCTACCCTACCTTAATTGGCTTATAAAAACAAATTACAAATTCTAATTTTTACAAACCATTTCCCCTTTAACAGTCACATAAAAATTTACCTCCCCGCTCCAGGATGTATGAGAATCAATATTTCTTCTATAAATATTCATCAACCAAGATTTTCTAGCACTTTCCTTTTGGTAGTTGGCTTTATTGGAAAAATGGTTTCTGTTTTTTCCAAATATAAAAATATGATGAGTTTTCAAACTACATGGTCCCCCACCCCATCCCCTTTCACTGTGCTATTTCCCCCTTTGGGAATCAATGCTCTGATAGTCTTATTAAAAAATACTCACAAGTCATGTCTCTGGCCCAGCTTTATTTATTTCTGGCTGCTTGCTCTGGATTCTTAGATATCTGACACCATGATCAGATTTTGGGGCCTGCTGCTCCCCCTCACAGCTAAACTCCTGCTGGTTTTGAGCTCTCGTGATTGTCCTCCCAGGTGAGGATTTTCAGGGCCTACCCTTTCTGAGAGGATAGTCTCAGACATTGGATTTCATTTCTGCATCTGAAGAATACATGAGAAATGGTTCTCCAACTAACATTCCCAAAGGTTCTGAAGGGTTTAATTAGGAATAACTTTAATATTTCTTTTTTCCTTTCATTTTCTATCTTTCTTTTTTTTTTTTTAGAGAGATTACGTGCGCACCCATGGGAGCAGGATGGGGGAGGGGCAGAGGGCGAGGGAGAGGGAGAGAGAATCTCAAGCAGGCTCCATGCCCAGCGCAAACCCGAGATGGGGCTCAAACTCACGACCCTGAGATCATGACCTGAGCTAAAATCAAGGGTCCGGTGCTTAACTGAGCTACCCAGGCACCCCAGGAATAGTTTTAATATTTTAAAAATATCTGAGGTGTTTCATGATGGGACCAAATAGGTCAATCTGAATGTCACATTTCCTTATGTGGGGCTGTAATTATACAAATTCATTGTGTTAATGTTGATAATTTGATGTTTATAGGGAGATTTATTTGAGAATAAAATGTCTTTAGTTAATAAAATGTCAGAAATAAATTAATAATGTATTGCTTAAGAAGTACAGTTTGTTTTGTAAGAAAGGATATGTCAAGAGGTGGTAGTGGTGGTGGACGGTGGGGCAAGGGGCTAAAAGCAGTGAGTACAGTAAGAAGTGTGGGATTTCTGGGGTTCCAGTTGGCCTTGGATTCCTTGTGACCTCTTCTGTTAGTCTGCGGCACATGTTTATGTCACGATAAACTTTGAAAATAGGCCATGCTGGTGGTTTCTCTATACTGATTTATTTTCCAAATCCCACACTCATTCTTAGAATTTCAAACAATAAGATTGTATAGAGCAAAGAGTGAAAGTACCTCTTGTACCACTGTCAAGTTTGGTATGTCTCTCTCCCCTTTTCTCTGCATTGGTAAGAAGCTTTGGCCCCAAAACTAATGAAGTACTGTATGGTGACTAACATAACATAATAAATAAAATAAAATAAAATAAAGGAAGTGCCTCTTGCACTATTGTCAAGTTGGTATGTATCTCTCCCCTTTTCTCTGCATGTATAGCGTGCTATCAGTAAAAAACTTTGGCCACAGGCCTTCCAAGTATTTCCAACTAGCACCTTGTCCACCCTAGCTCTTCCTTCCAGCACCCCCACAGTGTAGCAAGTAAAGGGTTAAGACTGGCCCTAGGAGGCTGTCCAGTTTCCTGTGGGCTAGTGGCTAGTGGCTGTGCAAGTCTGATAGTTAAATATTTGAATATCACCCCTGAATTTCTCATATGATTATTATGTCAGTTATTTTTCACTTTAACAGTACGTATTCTTGATACCCTTTCTCATTAGCATCATTATTCTTCCCAATGGTTGCAGAATGTTTCATTGCAGGATATATATCGTAATGTATTTAGTGAGTACCCAACTGGTGGACATTTAAGTTGATTTCAATTTTAATAGTGCATGTAATGCTGTAGCAAAAGCTCCGATTCCTGCATTTTTGAGGACTTTACATTTTGATATGTGGTGCCTAATTATTTTCAAAAAAGCTCTTTGAAATTGCCTATTTTCCCATCCTTCATCAATGCCAAACATCTATTAATTTTAACCAATACAATAGTTTTTAAAATGTACTTAATTGTCACATTAATTTTGGTGAGACTTAGTGTTACACATTCTTTTTTTTTTTTTTTTAAGATTTTTATTTATTTATTTGACAGACAGAGATCACAAGTAGGCAGAGAGGCAGGCAGAGAGAGAGAGGAGGAAGCAGGCTCCCTGACGAGCAAAGAGCCCGATGTGGGGCTCGATCCCAGGACCCCGGGATCATGACCTGAGTGGAAGGCAGAGGCTTTAACCCACTGAGCCACCCAGGCGCCCCAGTGTTACACATTGTTAATAATATATATTCACTTATTCTGTGAATTGCCTAATATATTTTGTCTGCTTTTCTATTGGGTTGTTTTCTATTTCTTATTGGTATGTATACTTTTTGTATACTAAGGAAACAAACATTTTTAATATTTTAGTTGCAGTTTTTTTAGTTCGTCCCAGTTTGCCATGCCTTGGGTTTGTTTCTAGACTCAGAGAGCCAGTCCTGGTTAGGCTGACAGTGCCTTTTTCATTTTGCGGAAGAGAAAATATTTTTCCTGAGGAAGGAGATCTCTTCTTAAGGGCATCAATATCCTTCAAAGTGACTTTTTTCAGGGAATAGGCTAGAGTGTAGGCTGTGCCTAGGGAAGAGGCCCCCTGTCAGCATCAGCCAACTTGATATGTGAGAGTGCAGGCCTCTTGTTGCCAGATCCTCAGATTTTTCAAGAGAAATCAACAAACCAGTTTTTTATGTAAAATCTCCCTTTGACTCTATACCTGTCTATACATCAGCACTGTGAAAACCCAACAATATAATTTTGACCTAAAATTACCTCAGTTACCATGCATGGCCAGCATCTCAGCACTGGGAGATCTGCCTCATACACCTCACATGTCCTTCTGGAAGCTGGAGCTGCCTCTGGAGCTGGTTTCTGAGCTGTGATGCCAACAGTTGACAGCAGAGAGCACTCTTATTGTGGGCTTCCTAGGTTCCAAAGTCCACCTTCAAAGGGCAGTCTGTCACACTGTCTCCTGACACATCCCTAAGTGTAGGAAGGAGACCAGCTGTGATGGCTGTGCTGAGTCAGAGAGTGGGTGTCTGTCACTGGCTGAGGAAGGGGTGAGAGGCGAAGGGGCCAGATGCAAACCATAGGTACTGAGAACCCACCCTTTTCTCCTCCCATCCAATAGTTATGGCTCAGCTGCTCCTGGTGACAGTGATGTTCCCTGGCTTAGCCATTTAGGGCCAGTCTCTTTTGGCCTGTTCCTTGTCATAGACTATATCCCTGTCCCCACTGGTGCTGCCAACTCTTGCGTGTGCTGTGGCAGAGGTGGTACAGCAGAGTGTGACCGCTCCCCAGTGCTAATTGACTAAAGCCTTGATTCTTTTCTCTCCTCTACTAGGTGGCAGGAACTCCTGGGGTCAAGTGTCCTCGCCAAGAGGGAGAGGAGGAACAAGGTTTCTTATCAGAGTAGATGCCTACAGACATCCCTACTTGATCTTGGTCCTGGCCACCCAGGTTTTTTTTTTTTTTTTTTTCCCCACTTAAAAAATTGGGATAAAAAAACATGTATATATATATACCATAAAACTTACCATTTCAATCCTTTTCAAATGCACAATTCAGTGGCATTAAGTACCTTCACATTGTTGCACAGCCAACACCACTCTTCATCTCTAGAACTTTGCCATTGAAACTCTGTACCCAATAAACAATAACTTCTTATTCGCTACACTCCTCTCACCCTGCCCCAGCCCCTG